CACACACACCACACACCACACACACACACCACACACACACACACACACACACACACACACACACACACACACACCCACACACACACACCACATCTTTATCCATTCATCGGTCGATGGACATTTGGACTCTTTCCATAATTGGCTATAGTAGATAATACTGTTGAAAACATCAGGGTGCATGTATCCCTTCGAATTAGTATTTTTTCTATTCTTTGGGTAAACACCTAGTAGTACAATTGCTGGATCATAGAGTAGTTCTATGTTTAACTTTTTGAGGAACCTCCATACTGTTCTCCAGAGTGGCTCCACCAGTTTGCATTCCCACCAGCAGTGTAAGAGGGCTTCCCTTTCTCTGCATCCTCGCCAACACCTGTTGTTTCTTAATTTTAGCCATTCTGACAGGTGTGAGTTGATATCTCATTGTAGTTTGGATTTGTAGTTCCTTGATGATGATTGATGTTGAGCATCTTTTCATGTGTCTGTTGGCCATCTGTATATCTTCTTTGGAAAAAAATGTCCATTCATGTGTTCTGTGCATTTTAAGTGAATTATTTGGTTTTGAGGTGTTGAGTTTTGTAAGTTCTTTATATATTTTGGATACTAAGCCTTTATCAGATATGGCATTCACTCTCACTTCCTAATCCACCATCTTATCCTCACTGCAAACAAGCCAGCCACTTTGTTCATGAAAGGAAGTGCTTCAACTTCCTCCCTGCCTTAACCTTTTCTTCTTTCTCAAATCTAGCTGTGCCTCCTGCGTCCAAATTTATGACTGCTCTCTGCGCCTTGTATTCTATTTCTTCCTGACTTTTTAAGGACCTCTGGTTCTCAGAAATACCTTATCTTGCCTGGGTCCTCGACTTCCCTTTTTCTCTTCTAGCTGTCCTTCTCTTCACCTGGCACCTTTCCTTGTGTGTGGTCAAGCCTCCCAGCCCTGCCTCCCTTCACCCTACATTGCTGTGAACTGTGACCGCTAAGCTGGGAAAGAATAGTCACTCCAGGTTTTCCAGCTGACAGTCTGAGCAGCCCTTCCCAGCCTCCTCTGAAGGCTCTTCTTCAGGGAGTTTATTTCTCCAGCTTCTCACCATACATCCCAGTGAATTATTTTCAGTGTTCTTGAACTTCTATGCCTTTTCACATGCTCTCACCTTTGCTTGGAACATCTTGCTCCTCCTTTTACGTCTTTAAGCTCTTGCACCATTCTCCAAAGCCAGGGTCAGCTTTCAGCATCCGTGCAGCCTGGGCCTGAGCCACCAGAAGTTTCGTTCCTTTTTCACTTTCCTGTGTCATCCTCTGCTTCCTTTTGCTTCCACACACATTACATGTAATGCCACATTTAATATCTACAGCAGCTCTTTGAGGCATCTGTATCTCACTTATACAGATGAGAAAACAGACCCAGATGCATTAAGTAACTTTTTTCAAAGTTATAGGAGCATTAAATGAAAAGTACAGGTTTGAACCCAGGCAGTCCTACTCTAGAACCGTTATGTTTAAACCCCCCCACCACCTCCATGCTCCACCATTAGCCTCTTAAGTTTGTCAAATGAATGAACAAGTCTTTTTCTTTTTGGGTTTTTTTTTTTAACATTTATTCATTTTTGAGAGACAGAGAGAGACAGAGCATGAGTTGGGGAGGGGCAGAGAGAGGGAGACACAGATTTGAAGCAGGCTTCAGGCTCTAAGCTGTCAGCACAGAGCCTGATGCGGGGCTCGAACCCATGAACCCGTGAGATCCTGACCAGAATCAAAGTCGGACACTTAACCGACTGAGCCACCCAGGCACCCCATGGGTCTTTTTCTTAAAAAATGGATCAAAATTAAACAAGTTTAAATTTCATAGCGTAGATTTTCAAAACTGCCAAGGCAACACAGACCTAAATAAGGCCATGATATTCTCAAGGAAGAAGAAAAGTAAGTTTGGGAATGATAATAACAATATGTAACAGCACCTGCATGGCTCAGTGGGTTAAATGTCTGATTCTTGATTTCGGCTCAGGTCATGATCTCACTGTTGGTGAGTTCAAGCCCCACATGGGGCTCTTCACTCTCAGCATGGAGCCTGCTTGGGATTCTCTCTCTCCCTCTCTCTCTCTCTCTCTGCCCCTCTGCTGCTCCCTCACTCTCAAAATAAATAAACTTTAAAAAAAGATAATAATATTATGTAATAAGTTTAGGATTAAAAAAGCTCTTTGGTGTGTATCATCTCATTTTATCAGCTTATGAAATATATTACAATTCCATTTTACACGTGGGCTGAGGCTGGAATAACCAGCACCAGGTTATATTTTATGTCTTCTGAAGTACTGGCCTTCAGGTATTTACTGATATGGAAGAGTAAATTGAGAGTATGTAGGCTCTTTAAAAGAAAAACTAGGAGAGTTTTACACTATTATTAAATACTTACTTATGCAAGATTTCTAATGGAGTAGGGGATCAATTTCTAGAACAAAAGGGCCACACCCAGGGATGCCATAATCTTTTGGGAGCTCCACTGCAAGTGTCAGAGTTAGGATATACCTGTCTAAAAAAAAGTCAACCTCCATGTCTGTATACAATTCATCAGTGGATGTTTTAATATGGTTCCTTTACCCATTTCCTTAAACAACAGTCCAGTATATTGCATAAGAGTTTAATGAGTTCTTTTTAAAACTTTTTTTAATGTTTATTTAGTTGAGAGAGAGAGAGAGAGACATAGCTCAGGTGGGGGAGGGCCAGAGAGAGAGGGAGATACAGAATCTGAAACAGGCTCCAGGCTCTGAGCTGTCAGCACAGAACCCGATGTGGGGCTTGAACTTGAGAATGGCGAGATCGTGACCTGAGCCAAAGTCAGACACTTAACCAACTGAGCCACCCAGGAGTCCTTTAATGAGTTTGATGTAGGAATCCATAGGTGAGTTTCAGAAGAATTTCTGAATTCCCTGAAAGTTATATTCAGAAATACATGTGCAAATGAACTCATTAGTTTATATTTTTAAATTTATTTATTTTGAGACACACAGAGAGAGCATGAGTGGGGTAGGGGGCAGAGAGAGAGGGAGAATTTTAAGCAGGCTCCACAGAGTCAGCCCAGAACCCAGTGTGGGGCTAGAACTCACAAGACTGTAAGATCATGACCTGAGCCAACATCAAGAATCAGACGCTTAAGTGACTGAGCCACCCAGTCACCCCATGAACACACTAGTTTAAAAAAGTATTGCATGGGGCGCCTGGGTGGCGCAGTCGGTTAAGCGTCCGACTTCAGCCAGGTCACGATCTCACGGTCCGTGAGTTCGAGCCCCGCGTCAGGCTCTGGGCTGATGGCTCAGAGCCTGGAGCCTGTTTCCGATTCTGTGCCTCCCTCTCTCTTTGCCCCTCCCCTGTTCATGCTCTGTCTCTCTCTGTCCCAAAAATAAATAAATGTTGAAAAAAAATAAAAAAAAAGTATTGCATATTTTATTTTATTTTATTTACCTTTTATTTATTTTTGAGAGAGAGAGAGCAAGTAGGGAAAAGGCAGAGAGAGAGGGGGACACAGAATCCAAAGCAGGCTCCACGCTCTGAGCTGTCAGCACAGAGCCCGATGCGGGGCTCGAAGCCACAAACCGTGAGATCATGACCTGAGCTGAAGTCAGACACTTAACCAACTGAGCCACCCAGGCGCCCCGCATACTTTATTTTTTGAGGAGAGGGTCTATAGCCTTCAACAGATTCTCAAAGGCCTACTTCCCCTGTGCCAAGATTAAGAAGCATTTTTTTTTATTTTTATTATTATTATTTTTTTTTGGTGATGGAAGCTAATTTTGATACTGGTGTAACAGCCAGATACATTATAAGGGAAATCTGTTCCCCATTCTCATTACCACAACTACTATTTTCCCCTTCCCTATCATACAATACCTTCAGTCACATTAAAAGAATATTATGTCCTTTTTTTGTTTTGTTTTTTAGAACTTTATGTTCTTAGCCACAGTTTGAATTTTCCACACCAATATTACTGAGATAATTGATAGGTGCCTAGAAGAAAATATAGGAAGCACAGTAATGCATTTTTATAACAGATTTTAACATTCCATAAGTGTTTTAACTGGCATCATTTTATTTTTTTAAGTAATCTCTAAGCCCAATGTGGGACTCAAACTCATGACCCAGAGATCAATACTCACATACTCTACTATCTGAACCAGCCAGATGCTCCTTAATTGGCATTCATATTTTGCCTGAGCTAACAGAAACTGAAAGTATTCTGGGAGCTTCAGGAAAAGTCACCTACGGATTGAAACATAAGTAGAACTGGATTCAAGTAGAGCTGGATTATCTATTAGGGATATTAAGCATGTGCTTTAAGGCATCAGCAAAGCCTGAGCAATCTTTTAAAAATAATATATATTGCAAAATATATTAGCCACAGGAAAAAGTAACAACCACAGGTAAAATTAGAACCTCACTGGATTTTCTTTTGCTTGCTATTTCTCAGTTGTTCAACTGTTTATTAAATTTGTGGGCGGTGGAGGGTATCCATTATCTTTTCAGTGAGTAAGGTCTGCTTGGCCTTCCCTTTTATATAATATTGATAATTCTATCCAAAGCATTTTATTCTCTGTGCCTCACAACAAGATTGTAAAAGAATCCTCAAAATGGAAAATTTAAGAGCTAAGGTATTATTAGCTTAAGATGTGCTGCACTGTTCTAAATGCTTATATGTTCAGCAATTCATTTAAAATTCACAACAGCCTTATGAAGTAGGGACTACTCTTAGCCTCCCATTTATAACTAGCATAATTGTAAGGTTTTTTGTTTTGTTTTTTTTTTTTTTTTTCTAGTAGGAAGGAGGGGCGGGGGCGGGCGAGGAGCGGCCCCAGGACATTGCGGGACCCTGGTCTCTGAATCACTAAGCAACTCTGCTTCTAGAGCTCTGAGCACTTTTTAAGGTCTAGGAGTAATTATTTATTTAGAACAGAGTCTAGCAGCCTAATGACTCCCTTGCAAGTTTCCTATCTGCTTGTTGGCAGGAATCTCCATCATCCCTATTAAATAGACCTCATCTTCTCGGAGCCAACCCTTATTCAAGGCACTAGTCCCGGGCATTGCACAAGAAAAAAGGATTTGCTGTCGACATCCATTTTACACGTGTGTATGTAGTGAGGCCAGGCTGCTGGCCGGGCGGCCGACTCTCCGAAATGAATGTTTGAGCTAGGATTTCTGGCATAATGGGCCCAGCACGCAAAATCCAGGTGTTGAGTGGTGAAGGGGTTAGAGTCATCTAAAACAAGGAAGCCTCCGGCAGCCTGGGGAGGGGGCCGGATACAGTTAAACCCGGTCCGACTAGGCTAGGGTCATGATCTCACAGTTCGTGGGTTCGAGCCTCCTTCGGATTCTGTGTCTCCCTCTTTCTCTGCCCCTCCCCCCCTCAAAAATAAACATTTTTTGAAACTTAAAAAAAATTAAAGTAGGTAAGCCACGCAGTGCTACCAGGGATACCAATGCTGGGCAGGGCTCTTACTGCCAGAAGAGTTAGATGTTTCTTCTGATTAAAAGAGGAAGCAGTACTTTGCCTAAGACATCAAACAGCCTGCTTCGAACTTGGCAGTTAGGAATCCTGTGCGGCTTTCAAATGCGAGGTGGTAGTACAGGGGAGGAAGGGAAACAGGGGAGAAGTACCGCTTTAATCGCGTGAACTCGCTCGGAGACCGCGTGCCTCCGCTGGGGGCGGGGGGAGTGCAGCCCGGAGAGGAGGGCGGGCGGGGGACGCGGGAGGGGGGGGGGGGTAGCAGGGGAGGAGCCCCGGGGTCCCTCCCCCCCCAGGGCCGCGTCCCGCTCCTAGCGCCCGTCCCCCCCCCCGGCCAGCCGCAGACCCGTTGACAGCGGAGGCCCCGCGCGGGGCGACTCCAGCGGGTGTCACATTCGCAGCGAGTTCAGGGCGGACGGCGCTCCCCTGGAGAAAGACTCCTGCAGGAGGAGGGGAAGGGCAGAGTCTGGGGGCCGCTTCCGCCGGCCGGGGAGGAGAGAGGAGGGGCGGGCTGATCACGAGAGGCCGGGGCGGGCCGCTGGCGACCGACAGCCCCAGAAGAAGGGAGGGAACGGGGCAGCGAGCGCTGGAGAGCAGCATGGAGCCCTTGGCCGACAGGCTCGCGACCGCGGCTGCACGGGGTCGGGCCGAAGAGGTGCGGGCGCTGCTCGCGGCAGGGGCGCAGCCCAATGCGCCGAACCGCCTGGGTCGGAGCCCGATTCAGGTGGGTGAGCCGGCCTGCCAGCCGCGGGAGAAGGGGGTGGCGGGCGCCTTTGGAGCACAAGGTTTGCAAGAGAGTTGGTACCGGTGAGCGTTGCGATTCTCGGGTAAGGGGAGACTTCCTGGTGAGTTCTCTGGTGGAGTTTGGAGCGGGAGCCCACCCCTCGTCCAAGTCCTGGGGGCTTAGGAAGCCGCGGGAGGAATGAGGAGACCTTTGGGGTGCAGATCTGTATAAGGTGGTGAAGATCGGAGCAGGGGGAGCCTATTTGTGTTAATATAGTCCGAGGTATGTTCTTTATCAGATATACAGTTACGAACGCTTGGGGGTAAAAGCAAGATTTTAAAGAAATGTAAGGTTTGTTGGGCCCACTTAGCTCGGAATTCACAGGCACCTGAAGGGAGCTGCCCCTCTCCCTTGCGCCGCCCCCCCCCCCCTGCAGTGGAAACCTTCTGCTGTTTTTGTTGAATAAATATCAACTGAAATTATTCAGAAGCAACTATATATTGTGTTTATTTTTTTTTAACCGAATAAAGAAAATATATGCTTGTTGTAAGAATTTAGAAAATACAGACATATATGAAGAAAAACGTTAGTGTGACCTTGCCTGAAATGTTGTCAATTTAGTTACTCTTTTGCGGGTATCTCCTATTTTGTTATTTTTAACTTTATTTGTTATAGATTAACTTATTTGGGACAGAGTTTTAAATTCCTCATTGTTCAAAAAGGTTGTTTCTCCCCTTCTCCAGTTTGGGGGTGGGGGTGGGGTTGGGGGGAAGAGGTATTTGTCGTTTTTGTTTGCCTTCACTAACTTCCAAAATCCAGGCTAAAACAAAATGAAACAAAACAAAAAAACGATTTCTTTCTGGCAGTCACCACCCTAGTTTTATTTCCAGTGTCGACAGTGATTTCTAATTCTGAAAAATAAATGTATATGAAAGAAAGGTTCGCACAAACTCCAGCGAAACGAGACAAAGGAAAGTAACTTGTACTTGCAATTTCACAGATTTCATGAGTCCATCTTCCTTTCTTGAAACTATGCTACGTCGAACAAATTTTACACATTTTAAAATACAGATATAAAAATAGGGGCGCTTGGGAGGCTCAGTCGGTTAAGCCTCCTCTCGATTTTGGCTCAGGTCATCTTAGAGCTCTTGAGTTGAGCCCTGCATCCGGAGCCTGGACCCTACTTCCAATTCTGTGTCTCCCTCTCTCTCTGCCCCTACCCCGTGCTCTCTCTCTCTCTCAAAAATAAGTAACATTAAAAATCTTTTAATAAAAATAAAATAAAATACAGATATGAAAGTAAAACCAAAATGCCTTAAAACTTGAGATTATTTGGGATTTGTAGTGTGGAGAGATTTTGAGAGTAGAGAGGTTTTGTGATAGTAGAAGAAAAGCATGAATCCTTTAAAAATAATGCATGCATGATTCCTAATTTGATATCTCGAAAATTTTATCTGAAGACTGAATTGGCCTTGAAGTTCTGGAATATGTTAGAAGAGACTCTATTTGTTTAAATACAAAAAGAAAAAAATAATTAGTTTTAGCAATTTTTTAAATAGGGAGGCTAAAAACATAGAGAAAAGGGGGCATGATTTTGGTTTAGAACCCTAACCAAACTTGTGTTTAATATAAAACTATTTAGTTTATAGAAAATTTTAACTACTTCATTGAACTCCATGTCTTATCAAATGGATTTAACACTCTACAAACATTCATTTAATTGATTCTTTTTCTTTTTGCTTTGGATTGCTATTTAGATTTAAATATTTAAATGTTAGGTTTCCTTTCATACTTTAACATGATGAAAACACTTAAAAGCAATTAAATGATGAAGCACTTCATTGGATAAACAACGTTTCATCTGTTATATTTTCACTTACATCATATACAGACATGGAGGTTGATGTCTTATAAGAACAGGTTTTAGACATGTGTTTCCTAGCTCTGGCACTTGCACGAGAGCTCCCAAAAGATTCTGGCATACTTGGGTGTGGCCCCCTTGTTCTGGTAGTTGACCCTTTAATCTATTAGAAGTCTTGTGTAAATAAGCAGTTAACAGTGTGAGAGCTTTTCCAGTTTTTCTTCTAAAAACAGTGCATTGTTCTCATGCACTGCAAGGGTTTTTTTTTTTTCCTTTTCGTAGCTGTAATTTGATTCACTTACATATTCTTTTTCCAAATCAGTTTCACTTTCTCTAGGACAAGAATCAACCACCACAGTAGAACTTATTATGGTTCCTTGGTCTAGAGAAATTAAATAATTCATGTTTAATACACAATGTAACTAAAAATAAGTAATTCCTCCTTCTAAGTCACTGTTGTCGAGCTAATATAATCAAATAATGGTTACCCTAAAAAATAATTATCTATCACTGCCATCCATCATGCAACACTCAAATTATAAGGTTGCTGTGATTGTGGATACTATTTAAAAATTCCTCTTTGGTGATGACTTTGTTTCAAAGATGATTTATGAAGCAAATGACGGGAGCACCTCCTATTTAATGAACTCTCAGAGTGTGAACTTGGAAAGTTGCTTAGTTTCCTATTGCTGCTGTAACAAATTGCCACAAACGTAGTGGCTCAAACTAACATAAATTTATTATCTTCTAGTTCTGGATATCTAAATGGATATCTAGATATCTAGATATCTAAAATGGATCCATAGGGCTGCATTCCTTTTGGAAGTTCCAGGGGAGAATCTGTTTCCTTGCCTTTTGCAACTTCTAATGACCATCAACATTCCTTGGCTCATGGCCCCTGCATCTTTTCTCTGACCTCCATTCTTAGATCTTTTCTCTGTGACCTTCTTTAAAGGAAACTTATGATTACCTTGGGCCCACCCTGGCAATCCAGGTTAATCTCCCTGAAAATTCTTAACTTAATCACATCTGAAGTCTCTTGCCATGTCAGGTAATATATTCACAGCTTTCAAGTGGACATCTTTGGGAGGCATTATTTAGCTTATCACAGGAAGGAATTTGGGGGCTGGTTAGGCAAGCCTCATTTTATACTTAAAGAAAGTGAATTTCAATATTCCGGGAGGCTTAAGTATAGATTAAAAGTTTTATAAGAATTAAAGGTTAGTTGTTTTAATTTTAGCTTTTTAACGATTATCTGTACTTGGATATACAGCAGAAAACCATATAAAATCTCTGGGCCTTATATAACTGTACCAAAACGAGGGGGGAAATACAAGAGATCAGGCTGTTGTTAAGTCAGTTTTGTCCCTCACCATTTTGCTGTTGTCTGTGCATCTGGCAGTGTTGTGTGTGTGGCTGGAAACCCACAGAAGTTTGGAGAATATAATGGAATTCAATGTGTACAGAAAGATGGAATGAGTATACTGGAGAACTAGCTAAGAGAGTTGGTAACTGAATGCAAATAGAGAGTAACTAGACACCAGTTGCTTGTACCGGAGTCTGCGCGGGGAGGAGGCTTCACAAAGAGTTTCTCTAAATGAATCTTGCCCCTTCCACCTGTCACTGCCCTGACCACTCTGCTCTCTCCGACAGGTCATGATGATGGGCAGCGCCCGCGTGGCCGAGCTGCTGCTGCTCCACGGCGCGGACCCCAACTGCGCGGATCCCGCCACCCTCACCCGACCTGTGCACGACGCCGCCCGGGAGGGGTTCCTGGACACGCTGGTGGTGCTGCACCGAGCCGGGGCGCGGCTGGATGTGCGCGATGCCTGGGGCCGCCTGCCCGTGGACCTGGCTGAGGAGCGGGGCCACCGCGACATAGTCCGGTACCTTCGCGCAGCCACGGGGGGCACCGGCACTGGTAGCCACACCGGTACAGACGGTGCAGAAGGTGTCGCAGGTGAGGTGGAAGATTTGAGTTGGACCCCGAAGAGCTTCAGCATTCCACTGCACTCCTTTTTCAGAAAAGAAAGCTGGCGCCGGGAGAGCAGGATCTTGGGTCCCTTGTCAGCTCTCACACTGCCATCCTGTATAACAACCCCAAGTGTCCAATCTCGCTGCCTGGCCAGGGCTATGGACAGGCAATAGCCTAGAAGGATTTCTGCACTTTAAAACCCATCCCATAAACCGTGCCCCTATCCTCCGCCCCAAATACTCACCCTCCCCACAGCTCAAGGACTTGACTAAGGAGCATTGATGACTCAGGATGCTAGAGGTCTCGTAGCCCCAGTTCCTCCAAACTAGCTGGCAACCGCATCCATTCAACTGCTCTGTGTCCACATTAGCATGGGTAGCTGGACCAGCCCTGCTGTTTCTACAACCATTTGCACGTGGCATCATCTGACAGAAATCTATCACTCCCAGCTCTATTGCAAAACTCAACTAAATCTGACCCTCAGCTCTGTGCGGTGTTGTTTTCCAGAGCTGTCCAAGGGAGAGAGACCTCTCCAACCCTGGCAGTCTGCATATGGGGATTTGATGCACTCAGAAACAGAGACCCTCTCTTAAGCTTTTCTTTCTCAAGCCTTTTTTTCTTTGCGAGAGAGATCACTGAGAGGGAGATGGCTATACGGTCCACCTTGCCTTCTCCTGCAACCACAAGCCTTCTCTCGTGGCCCTGTTTCTCCACCTCCACTCCAGCCTGCCTGAAGCACCAATTTTCCTGATTTTTTTTTCCTGAAGGGAGAACCATTATATATACATGACATTAACACGATTATTTAAGGTAAACCATGACTTTGAAGATACTGAGATCTACTCTATTTTGGCTCAGAATTGGGGCACTAGACCCTCTGGGCCTTAGGGGGACCTAGGAGGACAGAGAGGAGAGGCTCCCTCTGGGTCCTAGACCGGTGATGCAGCGAGTGATGTGCCTTTGACAAGAAGCAAGAAGATCTCTTTTAGCCTGCCCACCCTCTCCTCCCATTGAAGCTTGTATCCGGACACAGCGTAGGACAAGGGACCAATCATAGGGCTGCTGAGCGGCCCTGAAGAGAAGGATTAGGTGATTGAATCGAGTCACAGACAAATACATATTGTAACCCTTTATAAGCAAAACTAAGAGATTTGACCAAGCACACAAGTCCCTCCCTCTCTCCCTGCCTCCCTTCTCTTTATCCTACTACACGACCTCCATTTTAGATGGGGCACAAAAATGAATGAGATGAAACAGGAGACTTGCCCTCATAGAGCTTATATTCTGGGAAACAGACTTTAAACAATATATTTTCAGAGTTAGTTTGTAAAACCAATTTAGTTGTAAATAGGGAGACAGGATTAGAGTGCTCAGAGAGCCTGATGACAAGAGATTAGCCACTGGAGGTAGAGACACATTCAAGTCGCAAAGACTGTGGCAGGAATGAATGTGGCGGGTTAGGAGGACAGAAGGCGGGCACTGGAGCGCGCACACAAGGAGATCAGGGAGGAGGGCAAAGGCCAGATAATGTACCAGCTTGTAGGTCAAAGAAAGGATGTTGGGTCGAAACGTGGATTTTGAGAAACTTTAGGATGCTATTAATGGGTTTGGGAGAGGAAGCCTCGGAAGAAAGATGACAGGGCTGGAACTGAAGTTTCTAGATTGCCCAGCCGCTCCTAAGCCTCAGACGCCCTCTGCTTACCCGTGTTCGCCGAATAGCCTGCAGACGCGCCAAGAGCGAGGCGGTATTTTCACGTCCTGCGCTAGGCGCTGTGCGCGGCACGTCGCAGCACGCGTTATATACCGGGATTTTCCTGTTGCAAGCCTGCGAGGCGGAGTGACCGCGCGCTCTCTGCCCTCGCCTGGCGGGCCCGGAGCTGCCGGCGAGCCCGAGCAGCCAGCCGCGCAGTGGACGCGATGCGATATCAGAGAGGCTGAGGAGTGCACCTGCTGGCAGGGTCTAGCCTTGGTGGACAGACCCTGTGCCGAGGGTTGGTGGATATTGAGAGGAGGTGTACATGCCAGGGAAGCCGTTTGAGAATCTTGTCCATAAATGTCTGAATACTAGGTGGGAGATTACGAGAGAGGAGGGATCAGTCGCGCATTCTTGACTTCTGGTTTCTAATGTCTTTTTCTCTTTCTACCGCCTGCAGACAGCCGGACTTAAAGAATCATTGAGATCTGAAGACACCTCAATATGGTTTTGATCTTCCGTCACCCAAGAGAAATAAGCCCATCCCACCCAACTCTTCCCTGCTTTCTTAGTTGCCATATATCAAATAGCGCTTTTTAAATCTGCCTTCCCCTTCCCCTAAATTTACATTTGTATTTCCATTTATACATTGTTATAAAAGCTAAAAAGCAACACTGTTTCTGCCTTTTTATTATTGGGTTAGAGTTTTCTGGAGCAAGTTCTTAGGCCCTGAAAACACATCTATGTGGGCACTTCCTCTTTCCAGCCTGGCACCTCAAAGGGCACTGTTGTTTTTACAGACCCTTGTGAACTAAAGATACCAAACTTAAACGGGTTACATGGCCTTTCCTGTGTCCAGCAGCCATTAAGTGGCAGTGCCAAAGCTCACTTTTTAAAAAGTGTTCTTTTGTTTACTCATTTATTCAGTCAACATTTACTGAGTACCTATTATGGCATCTTGCCATGGGTATGGGAAATGGAGACAGATATCAATTAATGAACCCACAAACGCATGACTAGAAATTTTTATGCTGATTTTACTGACTAGAAGGTAATATTGTTTCCAAAAGATAAATGTACACTGCAGTAAGAGTATATAGCATGGATTGTAAGACATCTGAATTTCAGATGATAAAATGTCAAGAGCTGGGTCTTAAGATCAATGAAATGGAATAACAAAGTGATGAACAGAAACTCCAGGGAGACCTCAGATTGACAGACTCACGGCTGGCCTTCCCCTACTCACCTGGCTGCAGGAGTTGAGCCCCTCAAGGTTTGGGGCATTTTGCCCAAATCTTCAAAGCAAGCATGTGACTGAGCCAGCAAAGTGTGGTCTACAACCACAGAGCCTGGTTCTGCAGTCTGCTGGGGGCCTGACTGAGCTGCCCCCAATCATGCCCAACGCAGCTTCCTGAAACCCTCCCACAGTGGTTCCAGAGGGCTGTGAAGTAGCTACTGACCGCCACTCAAACCAAAAGCAGCTCCAGCTTCTCTGCCATGGCAGGAGGAGGAATGTGGCTTAAACTTCAGCAGAGGCCAGGAGGCCATGCTGCCTCCTCTGCAGTAGAGGTATCATACCTTCATTACTTATTTTTTTGAGGTGCAATTCATATAAAATTAATAATTTTATGTATATTTTAATGTTTATTTGAGAGAAAGAAAAAGAGCATGCACTGAGAAGGGAGAGAAGCAGAGAGAGAGAGAGAGAGAGAGAGAGAGAGGATTCCAAACAGGCTCCATACTGAGTGTGGGGCTCCACATGGGCCTGGATCCCACCACCTCCAGATCAGGACCTGAGCTGACATCAAGAGTTGGATGCTCAACTGACCGAGCCACCAAGGTGCCCCAAAATTAACAAATTTAAACCGTACAATTTGGTGTCATTTAGTCAACTCACAATGTTGTGCAGCCATCACCATTTATCTAGTTCAGAAACGTTTCCATCACCTCCAAAGGAAACCCTGTATATATTAGGCATACTCATTAAATACTCCCTGTCCCCAGGCCCTGACAACCACTAATCTCCTTTTGTCTATGGATTTACCTATTTTGCACATTTCATGTAAGTGGAAGCATACAATACGTTGCCTTTTATGCCTGGTTTCTTTCATTTAGCATAAGTGTTTGCAGTTCATGCATGTTGTAGCACATACCAGTACTTCATTCCTTTTTATAGCTGAATAGTATCCCACTGCTTACGCCATCTCATAATGAATGTTTGGGTTGTTTCCACCTTTTAGCTATAGCAAACAGTGCTATATTCACATATAAGTATTTGTTCAAATACTTGTTTTCAATTATTTTGGGTATATACCTAGGAGTGGAATTGTTGGATCATATAAATTTATGTTCACCTTTTTGAGGAACTGACAAACTGTTTCCACAGTAGCTGCACCATTAAACATTCCCACAACAATATACAAGGGTTCCAATATCTCCATACCCTCAATAACACTTGTTATTTTGGGATTTTTTAGAAGCCATCTAGTGGGTATGAAGTGGTATCTAATTATAGATTTCATTTGCATTTCCTTAATGACTACAGATGTTGAGCATTTTTTGTTTTTATTGGCGATTTGCATATTTTCTTAGGAGAAATGTCTATTCAAGTCCTTTGCCCATTTTTAAATTGAGTTTTTAAATTTTTGTTAAGTTCTAGGAGTTCGTTGTATATTATGGATACTAGACCTTTATCAAATATATCACTTATAAATATTTTCTCTCATTGTGTGCTGACACTTTGTGTCTTTTGATGCACAAAAGACTTTAATTTTGATTAAGTGTAATCAATCTTGTTTTTCTTTTGTTGTGCTTTTAGTGCCATGTCTAGGAATCCATGGACAAATCCAAGGTCATAAAGATTTACCTCTATGTTTTCTTCTATGACTTTTACAGCTTTATATCTTGTATCTAGGTCTTTGATCCATTTTTGGTTTTTGTTTGTTTTGTTTTCTTGGAGTCTTTTTTTTTTTTTTTTTTTTTTGCATATAATACAAGGTAGGGCTCTAACTTCATTTTTTCGTGTGGGTATCCAATTGTCCCAGCATCATTTGTTAAAGCAGCTGTTCTTTGCTAATTGAATGATCTGGGATCTGTGTCAAAAATCAATTGACTATACAGATATTAGTTTATTTCTAGACTCTCAATTCTATTCCATTGAGATATATGTCTATCTTTATGTCAATTCTACACTATTTTGATTACTGTAACTTTGTGGTTACTATGTTTTGAAATTGGGAAATGTGAGTACTCTTTTTTTCTTTTTCAAAATAATTTTAATCTGTTTTAAGCTTGTGTCTGGGGTCCCTCGCAATTCCATATACATTTATGGATCAGCTTTTCCATTTCTACCAAAAAAAAAAAAAAAAGGCCACTGGGATTTTCATGGGGACTGCATTGTATATGTAGATCATTTTGGGTCCTATTGCCACCCTGAGAATATTAAGTCTTCTAATTCATAAACAAAGGATGTCTTTCCATTAATTTAGTCTTTAATTACAGCATTTTAAAAAAATTTCCAGTGCACAAGTATTGCAGGTATTCAGTTAAATTTAGTCCTATTTTATTATTTTTGAATCTACAGAAAACTGAATTGTTTTCTTAATTTTTGTGGTCATTACTAGTGTAAATACAAGTGATTTTGCTGTATTAGTCTTTTATTGAAGCTTCACTAAATTTATTAGCCCTAATAAAAGTAAATGAAAAATCTCCAGGATTTCCTATATGTGAGATTATAACATCCACAAAGAGGAAGTTTTACTTGTTTCTTTCCAATTTGGATGCCTCATTCCTTCTTTTTTTTTTTTTTTTTCTGTGCCTAATCGTTCAGGTTAAATTTTTCAGCACAATGTTGCTTATACCATTTTGAATAGAAGAAGCAGAAGCTGGCATTCTTTTCTTGTGCCTGATATCAGCAGGAAATCTTTTGGTCTTTCACCATTGATTATGATTATGATGTTAGTGGTAATTTTTTCATAAGTGCCATTAATCAGATTGAGGAAGTTCTGTTCATTCCTACTTTGTTGAATGTTTTATCATGAAAAAGTGTTGGATTTTGTCAAATTCTTTCTCTGCATCAATAGATTGTATGTTTTCCTTGATTCTATTAATATGATATATTACACTGATCCTTTTTGTATGTGGAACCCCTTGCATTCCTGAGATAAATGTCACTTGATCATGGTGGTTTGCAAGGATTTTCTTGAGGATTTTTTTTTTCATCTTTGACTTAATTTCTTGTATGTCTTTGCCTGGTTTTGGCATCAGGATAACGTTGGCCCCATGGAATGAGTTAGGAAGTGTTCACCATTCTAAGAAGAGAGAAGGACTGGTGTTAATTTTTCTTTAAACATTTGATACAATGCACTAGTGAAGCCATCTGCGCCTGGGCTTTTGTCAGGAGGTTTTTGACTACTGATTCAATTTATTTACTTGTTATAAGTCTATTTACATTTTCTTTTTTTCCCTTGAGTCAGTTTTGGTAGGTTATGTGTTTCCAGGGAATTTGTCTATTTTACTTAGGCTTGTCAGCATACATAATTCATAGTTTTAGAATCCCTTTTGTTCCTTTAATGTCGCTAGTAATGTCCCCATTATGCTGTGTTTAAGTCATCTTTTTCTTGATCAAGAGCTCAGTTGGTTGCTGTAAACCTGTGACTACTTTCCAGCGTTCCCACAAAGTCAATTCTGACGCTTATCTTCTTGACGTTTCTTTTTAGAGATGGGCTCTTGGAGCTTCCTACCCTGTTATTTGCACCGATGCACTTCTACTTTTTGTTTTCTATTAGAGTAGAATGGCCAACTGCCTCTGAAACGCGAAGTTCCTTCCCCCGTACATCCCGCCTGACTGGGATTCGGTTCCCCACTCCTGGCCTTCCCACCATCTGGGTATCTGTTCTCCACCATTTCTTTGAACCTCTCTAGCTCTAACACTAAGCTATGTCCCTCCAAATGTTTTCCACTCTCCCTCCTCCTCACGCTCCCCACCAGCACCCCCCACGCCCCCCCCCCCCCCCCCCCGCTCCTTCTGATTGTAGGAGCTCGCCCTTCATTGCTTAACCCTCCCGCGCGCGCGCGCGCACGCGCACGCGCACAACACACACACACACACACACACACACACACACACACACACACACACACACACGTGTGTCACTCTCTTACCCTTAGCCAGCAGGCTCCGCTGTGGTGAGGGCGCCTCAGAGACTGCACTGGCGCCGACTCGAAGGCCCCAGAGCCTCTCTCTGACAGGACGGCGCTTCCCTCCCCGGCTCCCCGGGGGGGAACCCCGGGCTCGCGGAGGCTCCACGTGAGCGCTCCCCCCACGCCGAGCGCGCGCACGCCTGCCCGCCAGCGCCTTCGCGGAGGGATCTGGGAGTGAAGCGCCGGGCCGGGCGCGGGTCGCACAGGTGCTTCGGCCGGACGCGAAACGGCTTTCAGTGGTTAGAAAGAGTAAGGGAGAAAGAGAAAAGGGAGGGTGCGAGAACGGGAGCGGAAGAAGAGAGAGGGAGGGGTATCATCAAGACGGTCCGAGCGCGGCGAGGGGGTAGGACGGCCGCTCAGCTCCGCGACAGGGTTTTCCCTTGGTAACGGACCAAACGACCGAGTCAAGCAGCCGTGGGCTGTATGGTGGTGAGGGGTAGGGAATAACGATAAAAAATAGAAAAGGCGCCGCCAGACTGCAGCATTTTCAAGCTTGGGTTGGAGCGCAGCCCAGGTCCCGCGAACTGGGAACCGGGAAGGCGGTAGTGGACGCTGCCGCGTCTCGAGACGGAAAGCGGCCGTGAGCCTCCCTGGGCCCCGCTCACCCCCGGGCCGGCCTTCGGGAAGGGCTTGCACCCCACCTCTTGCACCTCCTGTCAGGCCTCGAATACGTGGTTTAGGCAACAGCGTTCAAGTAATAAGCAAATAAGCATATATATTTTTAAGTGAATATTATTATGACCTCACTTTTTTCCGGAGTTGAGCTGCTTTGAATTGTCTTGAAACGGTTTAGTAGTTTTCTGAATTCTCAAGTGTCTTTTCATCAGATAGCGGACGCAGTAATTCGGTGTTGCCGCAGCCCTAGCCGTCGATAAGAGGACTTTTTCGAGAGGCTGCAGCCAAGGAACGAGACTGAGAAAGTCGCTCTTAAACGTTTTCTGTCTACCGACTACTCTCTGAGATTAAGTTCTCTTTAAAGTATTTCTGAACATTTTGAGAATAATCAGCTCCTAACCTTTGTCTCCATTTAGATGGATGATGTAGCTGCCCCACTTCCTACTTGCACTCTTGTTTACTGGAAAAATGCATGGGAGATCTGTGGAGGCGGTAAAGCGAGGAGTTCTGACTCTGTGAGTAAGCTTGCCATTCCCTAATTCATTCAATCAATAATCACTGAGCGCTTCTTGTATGCCAGGCACTGTGCTAGGCAATAGAAGTAAAGGGCTCATCATCCCGAAAGAAAAAAAAAATAATAATAACAAAACAGGAGGTACTGTAGGTGTTCTTAAATCTTCCCATGTTTTGTTCTAGTTATCTCCTGAGGGAGTCCTTCCTTTCCATGGCAGGGGGAGAACAATATTAACTGACTAAAACCATACCTGTTCCCCAACCAAGCCAGTCTTTCTTGATTCGGTAAAGAGCACCAAAAATATTTTTTTAATTTTTTTAACGTTTATTTATTTTTGAGACAGAGAGAGACAGAGCATGAATGGGGGGGGGGGGGTCAGAGAGAGAGAGGGAGACACAGACTCTGAAACAGGCTCCAGGCTCTGAGCTGTCAGCACAGAGCCCCCTGCGGGGCTTGAACTCAGGAACTGCGAGATCATGACCTGAGCCGAAGTCGGACGCTTAACCGACTGCGCCACCCAGGCGCCCCAAAAATATTTTTTAATAAGAGAACAATTCACCATATTAGCCTACCTAGAAGAAGCTGGTGATGGTATTTTTTCTTTATTGGAGGTGAGGAGGGAGAAAGGGAGAGAGAGAAATAGTGTTCCTCTCATTATAAATCATTTAATGGAATGATTTTTGTTGTTGTCAATGACTCACGTGTGAAAACTGTTGCTATAGATGAAATTTGAAGTTAGCAATCTGGGAAGTAAATCTTGAGTCCTTCTACCTACCAGCTTCTAAAGTAACCAAGTCTGATAAATTGCTACATGATTTTAAAGCTGTTTTAACATGTAAAAAAAAAATGTATTGGTTGCCATACTCTTAAGCTTTAGATAGGAACAGCAAGGCAAAATAGGTTTGGTTTTTACAAATCAAGGAATCTCTATAGATAGGAAGCTGAGAAAATGACTTTGCAGGAAGCTAAACAATAATCAAATAAAATGTTTCCCTAAGGACCCTTGAGATGAGATTGATGAGAGGAGGGAAGAGAGAAATGGGGAATGTCTCTCTTTTTGACAGAAAAAGTCCCTGAAGTAAATAGTTCTTAGAAAGGGACACTTGTCCACTGGGTCCACCGTGGAACCAGAGGTACCATCAGAAAGTGAGCCAGGGTTGTGAGGGGCCAGTCAGCTCCAAAGCAGAGTTATCTTTTATAGGAAGAGCAGAGTTAATAATTTCCATGTCTGTCTTATATGAAGTAGATCAATCATGTAGAAACCAAAAGAGAAGGGAATTGATTTCACAGTTTCAGTTAGAAGGTAGTACCGTTACAGGAAACCAACCCCTGAACAAGGCTAAAAAAACCTAAATTTGGGTGACGAGTGTATGTAAATAAGACCAATTTTCCTTTTTCCTTTTCTTTCTTTTCCTCTTGTACAAAGTGTTTCCATAATGTTGAAAAGGGCGTGGAGGGGTGCCTGGGTGGCGCAGTCGGTTAGGCGTCCGACTTCAACCAGGTCTCGATCTCGCGGTCCGTGAGTTCGAGCCCTGCGTCAGGCTCTGGGCTGATGGCTCAGAGCCTGGAGCCTGTTTCCGATTCTGTGTCTCCCTCTCTCTCTGCCCCTTCCCTGTTCATGCTCTGTCTCTCTCTGTCCCAAAAATAAATAAACGTTGAAAAAAAAAAAAAGAAAAGGGCGTGGATAAATATTGCTGAGGGGAATAAAATTACATAAAATCCACAGAGAAAAATTAGCAATATCGATGAAAAATTTAAAGGGACATCTCTTCGATTAATTCCACCTCTAGAAACGATTCTGCAGATATATTTGCACATGTGCAAAATGGCCCATGTGTAAGAATAGTAACTGTAGTTTTGTAATGACACAAGAGATGAGACTATTTCAATGGCTATAAATGGAGAGGGATCAATTAAATTATGAGGCTTCCCTAAAATTAATAATATATAGCTATTAAACAATGCAGCAGATCTGGCAAAAATATAGTGATTTTCAAGATACGTTGTTGAGGGGAAAAAAGGGTATAGGATAATGTGTGTAAAATAATTCAACTTAAATTTTAAAACTTTTTTTTTTTTCAACGTTTATTTATTTTTGGGACAGAGAGAGACAGAGCATGAACGGGGGAGGGTCAGAGACAGAGGGAGACACAGAATCGGAAACAGGCTCCAGGCTCTGAGCCATCAGCCCAGAGCCCGACGCGGGGCTCGAACTCACGGACCGCGAGATCGTGACCTGGCTGAAGTCGGACGCTTAACCGACTGCGCCACCCAGGCGCCCCACAACTTAAATTTTAAAAATATTTGTGTATACATAGAATATTTCTGGAAAGACATGCAAAATGTTGTTGACTGTTGCCTCAAGGGAAGGATGTAGGTATCCGAGGGCTGTGTGGAGGGAAATTTATTTTGTACAGAACACAATTTGCTACCAGTTTTAAAAACAAGTGTTTGAACTATGTAATACAAATAAATAACTAATAACATAAGCCAAGCACTGGTAGCAGGAAGTCTTTCTAGAACTTACCACATTCTATTTCGTAAGAATTCTGCAACTGTCAAAATTGCATTAACAGGAAGAGAAAAAAGAAACCATTAGGATAAGTGATTCAGTTAGGCCTTATCTAAGCCTTAGTTTCCTCATTTGTAAAATGGGTACAAGGGTAACTATTTTGCAGAGTTGTTGTCTGGATTAGACATAAAGTCTATGAATTATTATAATAGTAGTACACACACACACACACACACACACACACACTCCTCTGACTCAGGCCTTCAGTTTCCCCAGTGTAATTCCCAGAAAAAGATCAAGCTGGGCCTGAAACAGGAAGAATTTTTTTTCTCACCAGCACAGCATTTAGCACTAGTAGTAACTCCCATCCCCTTGGATTTCATTTACTAAATGGGAAAATGGATCCCGGGATACCATGATGACCAAGACAAAACTCTGTGCTTTCAACAGTATTATGCAGTTTATACATAAGTGGATTTGCATTCAAATAATAGAGAACAAAACTAGTATTTCCCTTTGCTGTTACTCTTCTCCCCGGAGATTAATTGCTGATATCGTCGTAAAGGTGAGGGAGATCCTTTATGACTTATGGTTTTGTTTGATGCATGTTGTTTCCCCCCTTCATTAGCATCATAAAGTATACACTGGCTAAAATATCAATATGTCTTAGAGGTTTTTCACAGGTCATAAAGATTCTTCCCTATTCTTTTAAACTGTTGCAGGTAGCCTAGTGTATGGATAAATGTGCCATTTATTTAATCATTTATCTGTTGATGGACATTTAAGTTTTCAATTTTTACTAGTATAAAATGCCCAAAAGAGCATGGTTATACATATATCTGTTTCGTATATTCAAACCCATATTTTTTTCTTTCTTTTTTTTCCTCTGAGGCTATTAATCTTGGTTATAAACATTACAAATGTTGTCTGCCAGCTTGTTGCTTGTATTATTACTTTGTATATGGTATCATTCAACCTACAGAATTAAATTTTTTGATGGAAATAAATGTACCAACCATTATTTTAAAAAGATGTTTTTCTTACAACTTTGTTTTCTTGTTTAAGGTCTTTTACACACCCAAGATTATATGCACATATTCTCCTATATATTCTGTTAGTATTTGAAATTTACATATTTTATCAACCTGGAATTTATTTTCAGTGTATGTCAAGTTGTAGTAGGCAGTATAGTGCTCCTCCACACAAGATGTCCGTGTCCCAATCTCCAGAACCTGTGAATATGTTAGGATACAGTATGCAAAATGAAATTAAGGTTGGAAATGAAATTAAGGTTGGAGATGAAATTAAGGTGGTAATCAGCAGACCTTGTGATGATGTATTAGTTTCCTATTGCTGCTATGACAAACCACCATAAATTTAGTAACTTTAAAACAACGCAAATTTCTCCTGAAAGTCAGAAGTCTTCTTCTGAAAGTCAGAAGGCCAAATGAAATAAGTTTCACTGGGCTGGGGTGAAAATGTAGGGCTGATTCTTTTTGGAGGCTCTGAGGGGAAAGCCTGATACCTTCTTTTTTTCATCTTGTAGTGGCCACTTGTATTCCTTGACCTGCAGCCCTCTCTTCTACCTTCAAAGCCTGTCTCTCTAATCTCTGCTTCTGTCATCATATCTCCTTCACCTTCCTGTTGTCAAATCTCTGTCACACTTATAAGGACACTTGTGATTACATTTAGGGCTCATCCAGATAATCCAGGATAATTTCCTCATTTCAAGATCCTTAATTATGTATGCAAAGTCCCTTTTTCCATATAAAGTAACAATCATAGGTTCCAGGAACTCAGGCCCAGATATTTTGGGGGACATTATTCAGTCTGCCATATATAGAGTGATTATTTTGGATTATCCAGATGGGCCCAAAGTATCACAATTCTTATAAATAAAAGAGGGAGGCAGAACAAAGAGAACCTGAGACATAGCATTGTGAAAAAGACACAGCCTGATGTTGCTGGCTTTCAAGATAGAAGGAGGGTGTAATAAACCAAGGAATGTGGGTGACCTCTAGAGAGTGGAAAAGGCAAGAAACAATTATCCCCTAGTGCCTCCATAGCCATGTTAACACATTAGTTCTAACCCAGTAAGACCCATCTTAGAAGTTTTTTTTAAAAACCTTAATTTTAGTAAGAACATTTAACATGAAATTTACCCTCTTAAAATTTTAAGTATACAATACAGTATTGTTAACTATAGGTATAATGTTGTACAGCAGATCTCTAGAACTTATTCATCTTGCTTAACTGAAACTTTATGGATATTGATTAATAACTTACATTTTCAGGGTACTTGGGTGGCTTGGTTGGGTGTCCAACTTTGGCTCAGGTCATTATGCCATGGCTCATGGGTTTGAGCTCTGCATCGGGCTCTATGCGAACAGCTCAGAACCTGGAGCCTGCTTTGGATTCTGTGTCTCCCTGTGTCTCTGCCCCTCCCCACTCACGCTCTGTCTCTCAAAACTGAAAAAAAATTACAAATT